TTCTCGTGACAGGCAGCCTCTAATGCTTGGTCACGTTTTAACGTTATCCCGTCTCTCCCTCTTCTTCCTTTATCTCTTTGTCAGCATCCCCGCAGAATCCAGTGATAAAAAAGGAATCGAATTTATTACGACACCCACGTGACTCGAGCTTTCGATTGGGCGGCAAAGTTACGGCTACGATTCCATAAGTCCTCGAGCAGATCCAATTGATAGATTATTGATTTATGTTTTATTTCTATACTTCATTGGACTATATATGTTTCAGTGATTTATTGGTTTGTGATATACGTATAGTATGGTTTAGTTATGTGCTTCATGGGTATTGATTATTATGTTCTGTTCATGTGTTTTGTTCGGGTTTTATTTTTTTAGGGATGGGTGCATTGATTGTTGAGGTTTATGGTCGTTGTGGGTCTTGATTAGTATGATTTGTTTCTGTGGTTCTTTGGGGTTATTGGAGGATTTTGAAATTTGGGATTTTGGGATTTTGGGATTTTGGGATTTTGGGATTTTGGGAATTTGGAGGATTGGAAATTTGGATGATTCGGTATTTCGAGATTTAGGGATTTGGAGACTTGGGAATTTGGAGGTTTGAGAATTTGGAGATTTGGGAATTTGGAGATTTGGAAATTTGGAGATTTGTGGAGATTTGGAAATTTGGAAATTTGGGAATTTGAAAATTTGGAAACTTGGGAATTTGGAAATTTGATCATTTGGAAATTTGGAAATTTGGGAATTTGAAAATTTGAAAATTTGGAAATTTGGAAATTTGAATTTGGAGATTTGGAGATTTGGAAATTTGGAAATTTGGGAATTTGAAAATTTGGAAATTTGGGAATTTGGAGATTTGGAGATTTGGAAATTTGGAAATTTGGGAATTTGAAAATTTGGAAATTTGGGAATTTGGAGATTTGGAGATTTGGAAATTTGGAAATTTGGGAATTTGAAAATTTGGAAATTTGGGAATTTGGAGATTTGGAGATTTGGAAATTTGGAAATTTGGGAATTTGGGAATTTGGGAATTTGGAAATTTGGAAATTTATAAAATTAGAAATTTAAAAATTTGGGAGATTCAAAGTTTGGAAGTTTGAAAGTTTGAAATTTAAAAAATTTGAAAACTTAATAATTCTACAAATTCTCTTGGCCTCTTGATCTGCGGAAATTTGGAATGTAGATGGATAAAGGGTTAAACTAATAAAGGACCCTTGCAGGGGAACCGCAAGATATTAAGATTTCTTCGTTCCCAACGATCGGTCGTTTATCTCGTATCTGGTCGATTTGTGTATCACGTAGGGACAATTGAGTTGATCCGAATTAGGCTCCGTTATTACGGCGAATCAGTGTCAGCACCGGTGCCAATGAAGAATGATCGCGAACGTCGAGATTACAACGACGATCGAATGTGAGAGCGGCATTAACGAATTGATTTAATACATTCGCTATCAGGGTTCATTAAAATTGATCCTACATATCTTTCATTATAATTAAAGGTTTCGTTCTGGAGTTATTTACCACATAATTTCTTTCACATATGTATCTGATTTTTATACAGAAATATCAAAGCAGCGAATATTAAATATACACTAATTTTTAAATGAAAAATGAATTAAAATTATGAGAAAGTAACAGTCAGAAAAATGAATAAAAACTATACATGTACCACTTAAAAAATAGATGAAAACTATAAACGTAACAATTAAAAAAAATAAATCAAAAGTACAAAAGTAAAAATTGAAAATTAGATGGTAACACGAAAAAAAAAATAAACTAAAATTACAAAGATAACAGTTAAAAACTAAATTAAAATAATTCTCAACGCCCACGCAAGAGAATATACGTTAATATATACAAACAGGAAAAGAGTATTAGCTAGTTCTACGAAGTAAAATTATCAGCCACACTGTGATTATCACGATCACACGAGGGATTAGAATTGTCAGTCGCGAATGAGTTATTCTCTGTTTTCCAGTTAATTATAGACATAAAACAATGCAACGACACGAGCAATAAATTACATAACTTGAGCCAGCTGGCTGGTAACGTGGATCAGGATAAAGCAGCTGCTCATGATCTAGATTCTAGATTAAAATTTATCAAGGGATCTTCATTCCAGCAATTTAGATGTGCTGTACAGTCTATTCTGCAATTCTATCTCCTTAGTGTAATAACTAGACTTCTATCTAAGTGAACTAATTGCTTCTTATGTTTTTTTGCTAGTTTAAGGGATTTTGTTTTGGGGTTGCAAGGTTTTTGGAGTAGTTTGAGAGTTTGAGAGTTTGAGAGTTTAGGAGCTTGAGAGCTTGAGAGTTTGAGAGCTTGAGAGTTTGAGAGTTTGAGAGTTTAAGAGCTTGAGAGCTTGAGAGTTTGAGAGTTTGAGAGTTTGAGAGTTTGAGAGTTCAAGGGTTTGAGAGCTTGAGAGCTTGAGAGTTTGAGAGTTTAAGAGCTTGAGAGCTTGAGAGTTTGAGAGTTTGAGAGTTTGAGAGTTTGAGAGTTCAAGGGTTTGAGAGCTTGAGAGCTTGAGAGTTCACACTATTAGAAACTTGCAAATTTCTTAATTTTTCAATTTCAACAAATTTCACAATTTTAAAATACTTCAACACATAACATTTAACTGATCCTTAACTAATTAAAAAATTTGTATACATAAAAGTTTATCGAACACAAATCTCCCTCACGTCACACATGCATTATTCTCTCGTTAAATTGTAATACTTAAAAACATGCCTCGCCGAGATATTATCGGTTAAGTTAAGCACATTGTAAACTTGCCTAACGATAACTCGCAAATTACTCGGTGGGAACAATGTCTGTGATTGCCGTGGTGACAGATTGAGCAACGAGCAGAGGGTTAGCGGATTAATCACGATGCACGGTAAACGCATGCTGTCACGTGAATGTTCTGCACTCGGTCTGCGGTTTATTTTATCTGCGAACAGCTCATACTTCCCAGACACAGTCAAAGAGTTCGCGTACTTATTTACGAGCGTGCTCAAAGCACGTCGACAGAGTTTGGAGAGCCCCGAGACAAAGTTGACATTTGTTTCGATAGTATTGGACGTTCGGTTAAATTACTGATGAGCTACGGTGGATACAGTTTTCAGGGTGGTTTTATTCCTGTGGACGGAAATGTTGCTTTTGGCGATATTTCAAGAGGATGTTTGAATATTTGCTAATTTGGGAATTTGTGTATTTTTATATTTGAAGATTTTGGGATTTTTTGAGGTTGGAAAATTTTAGGGAATTGGGAATTTGGAGAATTGGAGATTTGGAGATTTGGAGGTTTGGGGATTTCGGGATTTGGGGATTTGGAGGTTTGGGAATTTGGGGATTTAGGAATTTGGAGATTTAGGGATTTGGGGATTTTATAATTTAAAGATTTAATAATTTGGGAATTTATTAATTTGGAAATTTAGGAATTGGGGGATTTGGAAATTTGGGAATTTGGGAATTTTGGAATTTAATTTGGAGATTTAAAGATTTGAGAATTTGGAGACTTGGGAATTTGGAGATTTGGGGATTTGGAGGATTGGGGATTTAGAGGATTGGGGATTTAGAGGATTGGGAATTGGGAGATTTGGGAATTTGCAAATTTAAGAATTTGTAGTTTTGGGAATTTGGAGATTTAGGAATTTTGAGGATTGGGAATTTGGAAATTTGGGAATTAGGTGATTTGGGAATTTGCAAATTTGGAAATTTGCAGATTTGGAAATTTGGAAACTTGGAGACTTGGAGATTTGGAGATTTGGAGAATTCGAGCTAATTTAGAGATTTAAGAGACTCTCTAAATAATCCAAGAGCTTTGGAGACTTAAGGATTTGGGGTTAAAAAATAAAAAAATATTGAAACTTGAAAGTTTGAGAAGTTAAAAATTGTAGAATTATGAAATTTGGAAATTTTAGAATTTTAACAAATTGTGACTTGAAAGAATTTTAACTTGAAAACTTGAGAGTTTGAAAACTTCAAACGTTAAACTTTCAGAAACTTGTCAACTTTTCAACTTTTCAGTTTTTCAATTTGAACATTCATCAATTGCACTTGAAAATTTATTAAACTTATTTATTTACTAAATTTATTAATTTATTGTTCATCAATTTACTTGAAAATTTATTAAACTTATCGATATACAAATATCAGAATTTTTAAACGATCCAATATGAAACACTTAAATGATCCTTAAATTTGAATGATAATAAATGAATTTTTACCTTAAAAATTTGTCCAAAACAAATCTTCCATTCGCCCGTGGGACCGATAGTACTATCGACGTCACTGTTGACAATATTATAACTATGGCCGCATAATGAGGCGACCGATGATCGTTTTATTGAGTTGCGGCCAATGGCAGAGCGAACACGATAGAGAAGGACGACGAAATCGGCGAGCATTTATCGTGAATCGTTTAATGAAATATTATGAGCTGGCTTATAATAGGCATTTTACAGAGTATCGGTACTTTCATTGCTATTAAACGTCGTCGATTGTTCTTCGTCCATTGTGAAACTCCTTTTTCACTGTTTCTTAGAGTATTCGCTGGGATTAGCCATGCTTTGTTCTATCATTGTTCTTAGCTCTCTATCTTCGTTCTTAGTCATGCTCCATAATATGAAATGAATGGACACATTTTTTTCCGTTTAAAAAAGTTTCTGGTATTAATTAGAAGAATGATTTTACTCTTCTGTTCTGTTAACTTCTGAATCTTGGTTTACTTGTTTACTGTTATTTTACTGGGTTTAGTTATTATTTTATTTTAATTTGTAGGTTTTTTATTTTCTTTAGTACTTTTCTGTTAAAACTTCTATTTAATTTTCATCGAAATTGTCATTAAATGCACTTTGAATTTTTACGATTGCGATGGAGCAAAGTTAACAGGTGTTTGATGATTAAATTAATAAACTAGTTGGAGACCTATGGAAATTTGATATCTTTGAATAATTTAATATTTTATCACAACATTCAATACGAATAGCAAATTAAATTATATAAATTGCTTCGTGTTCTAGGTGGATTGAAACACGGAAACGGTGGCATCGGAAGTGCTAGCAGCTCCAGAAGCACAAGTCCAAGTCAACAGCAACCACCTCAAGGTGGACTCTCATTCATTCCTCAACCCAGAAATCAAAATTCAACCAACAGACAAACCGCAGCTACTACGCCGAGGTAAATAACATTCTTAAAACACTTCTCCATTTAGTCTACTTTTTTTTTATTTACATTTAATCTGTCTCTATACATAATTTTCCCATTTAGTCTGCTTTTTTATTTCAATGTTTATATTTACATTTTCATTCATATTTCTTGCCATTTTCATTTTTGAAATTTGTAAAACATCGATCACATACATGTTTGATAAATAAAAATCACTTGCTAAATATATTGTGTAAATAAATGTTTAAATGCATTGTATAAATACAATGTGTAAGTACATTGTGTAAATACAATATGTAAATACATTGTATACGTACAGTGTGTAAATACATTGTATAAGTACAGTGTGTAAATACATTGTATAAGTACAATGTGTAAATACATTGTATAAGTACAATGTGTAAATACATTGTATAAGTACAATGTGTAAGTACATTGTGTAAATACATTGTGTAAATACATTGTATAAGTAGAATGTGTAAATACATTGTATAAGTACAATGTGTAAATACATTGAATAAATACAATATGTAAATACATTGTCTAAGTGCAATGTGTAAAAACATTATATAAATACAATGTGTAAATATTATGTAAATGTTTAACGAAAAATTAAAACATTTCAGTCCTCGCACATCAACGGTGGGCAAACCAACGGGCACGAGGGGCAGCCAGCAGTCTCCGTACGCCTCATCAGGTCCGCCAACCCAACAGAACAAGAACTCCGTCCTGGACAAGTTCAAACTCTTCAACAACAAAGAAAAGAATCAAGACCGCGGTAAAGCCTCATCCGGAGTATCGAAACGTACATCGAGTTCCTCCGGTTTCTCCTCAGCGAGATCAGAGCACTCCGACAGTTCAACATCTCTATGCGACCAGAGCAGGGTTCAGGTGGAGTCTCCGAAGAACCGTGCCCTGAAATCGAAGCTGCAGTCCACGAAGCCGACCAAACAAGCCAGCCCGAAGACCGCCAGAAAGGAGCAGAGCAAAGGGCAAAGCAAGATCGCCCGAACGAAAGGAGCGGCTGACAAATTGCTGAGTTATAATCCACCTCTGGAAGATGTCAAACTCAGCAGCAAGATCGGTGGGGTGGGCACGAAGTTGGCTGCCGACAAGAAGTCCCCGAATCTGCAGGATCTGTTGAAGCAGCAGCCGGTCAGCCAGCTGCAGAAGCCGAATCCTTCGATGCTGGCTGGCAAGCAGATCAATGCGCAGGACGCGAAGAACATCGCGAAGAACGAGGCTGTGAAGCAGCCACCCAGGCCGAAGATGGAGTTGCCGAAGATACCGGACGCTAAGATACAGCTGCAGAGCGTGAAGGTGCCGCCTAACGGCCTGAACAAGGATGTCCTGATGCAGAAGGGGTTGATGAGCAACTCCAACGGGATGATCAAGCAACCCGATCAGGAGGAGACGCGTATCGAGAATAATGACCACGCGCTGTCCATGATGAATCAGGCTAATTTGTCGGAGGAGAAGTCCGCGATCGAGAGGCAGAAGGAGATCGTCGAGAATGTGGCGACGAACAATCATTCGGTGACGTTGGACAACGGTAGCCCGTCCAAACAACACGCGAGCTTGCCCACGAAAGCTAAAGCTCCGAATGAAGAAGTGGAACGCGCGAACAGAAAGCAAACACCGCCCTCCTCCCCTCGTCACAACCCGGAAACAACGATAGACGCGAAAATGGCGACCATTCAAGAAAACGGCTCGACTCAGCCGAACAATGCGCCGTCTCAGGAACAGCTCTCGAATGCGCTGAATTTTGGCCAGAATAAGCAGCAGCTTCCGGTTCTCGGCAGCCCGCTCCAGGGCTCCGCGCTGAACGCTTCCGGGAGCCCCGGCTCCAGCATTCCGAAGCCCACGGCCTTGGTGAAAGGCACCTCGAAACCGCCGAAGGAAAACAGCATAGCCGGCGTTGCGACGCCCACGAAATTGAAGGCAGACGCTTTGCATCGCAAACTCGACCCGAACACCGTTGCAATGGTGTCACCTATGCCGAGTATTTCGGATCTCATGTCCGAGAGCTCGCACAGCAACTCGAACAGCACCGGACAGAGCAACTCCAGCGATAGCAGCGTTATTTATAGGCCCAGCAGCGAGAGCGGGAGTGAGATCAAGACAATACCTAATAGAAAAATCGACACGACCTTCGAGCAGATGGAGAAGGTTAGTAGTTTCATGGATATGACTGCTTCGTGTCACTTGCTACTTTTTATACGCTTCGAACGATGTCTTGTAACCGTCAATTTATGTCAGAGGATGACTAGAGATCAGTATGGTATCAAATGATAATAGTGATGGGGATGCATGGAGCTAACGTGAAGTTACTCTATGCTGAAGTGTCGGCTGAAGTGTGAAGGACACTTGATTTGGAGGAGATTAATATGCTTTGAAGCTACCATTTTCCCCTTTCGTTTTGAGGGATAATTATGGAAATTTAGATATATATTTATTCACAGTGTTATGGACACTCGTTTCTGGCTCCACAAATTATCCATTCGACAATTTCTGAACATAGGTTACTTAGGTTCAACCTTAATATACTGTATTTACACATTGTACTCTTTGAGATTAGGTGTTTTATCTACCTAGGTGTTAACTGTTCTACCTCTTGCTTTATTTGAGTGGTGGAATTTTAACTCACCTCCAAAAGTTGAAATTGTCTGGTACAGAATAGTCACACGCTTTAATAGAACTAGTCAGTTTACGTTATTCACTATGTTATTTCATTTTGTGCAAATTTTTATTTTTGTCAAAGTCATCTACCTCAAGGAGTTAAAATATAAATACCAATCAGAAATAGGGTTTTAGGTTAAAACTGTAGGTCTAGACGTTTAACGACTATTTATATTTAAATTGATACTGTGCTATCAGAAGAAATAGTGGATAATACATGAACTAGTTTAAACAATGATTCTTCATCTCACCACTAACATTTTGACCAAGATTTCTTAAAATAAAAAATTTGAGATCCACCAATTTGATGAATTCTGTGCATGTAGTATTAATCTGCTCCAACTTGTGTTCACTTATAAATATTGAAACAGAACTGTAATTCAGTCTATGTTGCAGACATCATCCCAGAGTTCACATACATAAATGTAATTGATCTCTTTCAATTTGTAGTTACCTATAAGTATTGAAAAAACCAATTAAGTCATCCTATGTTGTAGACATCATCCCAGAGTTCACATACATAAATGTAATTGATCTCTTTCAATTTGTAGTTACCTATAAATATTGAAAAAACCGATTAAGTCATCCTATGTTGTAGACATCGCCCAAAGTTGCAATACATAGCATTAATCTATAATAATTTCCATGTATCAATATTAAAAAAGCGTTAATTCACCTTATATTGCGAACATCGACCTAGAGTTCAAATACATAAATTTAGCATTAGTCTATTCTAATACCTGTACTAGTAAATATTGAAAAAAAGCGTTAATTCAGCCTATGTTGCAGGTACTGTCCGAAAGTTCGAGTTGCGGAGGGGGTTCAATGGGGGACGACGAGGCAGAAATGACGGTGAAACCCATGCAACCCCTGCTCCGCGGTTACACGCCGGGCGCGAGAGCCCTGCAGACTTTGCCCAGCAGAACAACCGCTCGACAATATACGATTCTTCATTCTTCCTCTCATCATCATGTCGGTCACGATTACGCGGACATCGACGTCGCCTCCGGTTATCTCAGCGACGGAGAAGTTCTTCGCGGTGGTATGACCGTCGGCAGCAGAACTTTGTCCGATTTATGCGACGGTTACATGTCCGAGGGTGGTGCTTCCTTGTACGCTCGGAGAATCAATCCGTCTTATGGCCACGATCACGAGAGGTAAGTGCACGTTTATGAACGCTGGGAAACGTTTCATGTCGACGTGAAATGAGTGCGAGATTCGGACACTGTGTGACGTAGGGTTCAGATACGGGAATTTTAGGTAGGGTTAGGTAGGACGTTTTGTAGGGTTGAAATATTGGGATACTGGTTTGGAGGTTTGGGGATTTTGGGATTTGGGACAATTTTGCGGATTTTTAAGTTTAAGTTTGGGAGACGAAGAGTTTGGGAGTTGGGAAGCTTGGGAGTTTGGGAGTTTGGGAGTTTGGGGATTGGGGGATTAGGTAATTTGAATTTGTAAATTTTAGATTTAGAGATTTAGGTCTGAGCATTTGGTATTTAAGAATTTGAGAGTTTGAGAATTTGTGAACTTGGAAAGGGTGGTATTTGAGAATTTGTGAACTTGGGAAGGGTGGTATTTGAGAATTTGTGAACTTGAGGAGTATGGTATTTGAGAATTTGGGAATTTGAGAATTTGTGAAATTGGGAAGGGTGGTATTTGAGAATTTGTGAATTTGGGGAGTTTGGTATTTGAGAATTTGTGAATTTGTTGAGTGGGAAATTTGAAAATCTGGAAATCTGAAAATTTAGAAATCTGGAACACCAAGAATTTGATAAGTTAAAAATTTTCAAGTTTTGAAATTTGTAAGATTGAGACCTCACGAATTTGAAAATTTAAAGATTTAAAAGTGTAAAAATTTGAAAACCTAAAAATCTAAAAATCTGAAAGCTGAGTTTCCTTAAGCAATCAAAAAAACATAATACCCTAATTAAAATAAAAAATTACTGTAAAAGCGAGTTTCACTGCTGAACCAGAAGCTTGTAAACTTTAAGTACGAACATGCTTCGCTAATCAATACTTTGTCCTCTCATCCGTCTTTCGCTCGGTAATTCATTTACGCCTTTGCGCAAGAACGTGTATTATCAATCTTCTTCTTTCGAAATATCTTTGTCCACGTTTAAATGTCTGAGATAAACGTATGTACTAGAGTGCATCTTCGAATGAAACAACTCGAGAAATGTTTACTACTCTAACACTCTCGAATGTACAAATTGATAGAAGCAAATTAATTCAATTATCTTGATGAGGTTTCAAGCTCCTGTGTGCAGAGATCGAAGTTAAAGCACACTTCATTATACACGTTTCCTCCCGTTTATTTCGACAAGTGTATCTCATTACCTCTTGGTATATAACACGGGTTTCGGTGGCACGTTGTACGAGTCACAATCCCCACGTGAACATGAAATGTAAGTCGCCAGATTTGTCTGCGCACGTGGACTCCATTGTGATATCTAATACTCCGACCAGTTCATATTTTTACCCTCTTAAAATATATGAAGACTATTTACTGTTTATTAATGTAACATAACCACTTTTATTAAAAATCATTTTTATGACTGTTAAAAAAATTGTTCATTAATTTTGTACGTAACATATGCTCTTAAAATATATGAAGACTATTTGCAGTTTATTGATGTAACATAATCTCTTTTATTAAAATTCATTTTTAAAATTGTTAGAAAAATTGTTCATTAATTTTGTTCATAACATATGTACATATGATGTACAGACAGTGCTAATAGCATATGTATATGTACATGTGTACATGAACATATTATATAACATATCAAATATGCATATACAAATATTATACATAAAATATGAAATATTATATATGATATTATAAATGAATATTAGATCAATGTTTTATAATATTCAAAAATGATTATCACATCATATAAATGTATACACATATGAATATTAGTATCAGACATAAAAATAATATCAAAAATGTTAGATGACTAATGTTGACAACAATCATGTTCAACATTCTTTATTTTAAAGTATCACTATATAATTTCAAATTTTGTATTCAAGAAGAAATATGATATTAATGTATTTAATATAGTAAAATTAAAATATTATTCAGTGCAATTGTTCATATAAAAATATTATTTAAAATGGTTGTTAAAGTAAAAATATTAAATAAAAACATTGTTAAAATAAAAATATTAATCAGTCTCTGTTAAAGTAAAAATATTAATTAATATCATTGTTGAAATAAAAATATAAATTGAAGACACTATTTAAGTAAAAATATTAATTAAAATCATTGTTAAAATAAAAATATTTAAAAATGAAATATACGCTATTACAAATAATCTATCATACTATTAATTAATTTTCATTGATTCTTATTGATTTTTAATAAAAAAAAAATAATTTAATATTTCATTTACAAAAAGAAGTTTACAATCCTAAAAAAGTAATCGAGTGTTTAAACTTCATATGAAAAAAAAAGTCGAACGAAAATAAATGTGAGCAATTAATTAAAACTAAAGTAGACGAAGACGCGAATGTGAGTGATTAAATTAGCTTTGAAAATAGTAGCGATACACGCATCGTTGGTTGATGTTAAGTCAGTCTGGCGTGAATCACTTCGCGAAGTCTGCGATGCAACGTTTGAATCAGACTTAATACGGCATGCAGTGAAGAGTAGTCGTGCCAGCACTTACTAATGGCCTTTAATTAGACGAAATTTGCAGGGCTAATTTCGTACGGGCCTCCAATTACTCAGCTCGACTCAGCTTAGCGTAGTTATCTTTGGTTACGCGGATTACTTCGATTGAATAAACTAACCTTACAGATTCTGCTTAATTAATCTCTTCGTACCTCATTTCATTTTATATTTCTCTTTACTTTTCTTTTGGTGCATCTCACCTTTCATTGGCTTTTCATTTTTTAAATTTTTATTCAATTTATTGTCGACACACAATAATTAAGGACTTCATTCTTTATTTAAATATTTTTGGTTTTTAGAATATTTTGGATTTTAGAAAAATTTATTGTGTTATTATATAAGTGTAAAAGTGAGTTATTTTAATTATTATTTATTATAACATTAACTGAAGATGTAAAAACATTAAGATTAATGTTACAATAATTTCAAGAAACCTTTCTCATTTTTAGTTCAGTCTTGAAGTAACTCAAATACCCCATCAAAATGGCGGATCATTACATACTTCCTCCGTCATCTTTTTTTCACAAAATCTATTTTAAAAAATTATACACGTACAGTTACAAAATTATCAAAGTACTTCAACGATTTTAATATTTATATTTGTTAATTCAGATCTACTAATCGAACAGAAACTTTGTCTCTGTTATTCTTGTACAAATACATTGAGAATTTCTCAAAAATTTTGTCTTACACTGTTATATTTATACTTATACTCTTATTGAAATTCATTCTTATACTCTTCAAACTTATTTTTTGATGTAAAATTTTTGTATGATTGCTTTTTACAAATTGCTTAATACAGTAGAACTGTCACACATCTTTTGAGACGACCAGTATATTTGACACAGACGAAGACAAAACGAGAACGTAGAATTTAATAACGTCGAGGCAGTATCGATACGGGAGATTAAAAGGTTGGAAAAATGAGAGAAGAGGGAGGGACAGTGGAAAATGGCGGAGAAAAAGCGAGAAATGGGTCAGTGGTGATCATTTCGATTAGATTCACCGCATTGAGTTTGGATTCGTCTCGGTCGAATAGAATCCCGTTGAAGCGTGTCCAGTTCGCCTCGTTCAGCCATTCAGTCTCATTTGATTTCCTTCGTACGTGTCGTCCATGTAAATTCTATTGGACGAACGACAATAATTCCTCGCGAATGTGCCCGAACAGTCCAACAGATAAGAAAGTGTACTTGCAATTTTCGCTGGAATATAGAACACGATAGGGAGGTTCGACCAATCACAATAATTTAGAGGAAACTACTTAACGATTCTAATGCGGTCGATGGGAATAAATATCGGGAGCCTGCTGCAACTCTTTATGCCGAACACGTGTTCTTTACTTAGCTTGAATAATCTTGAAATTTCTTGTAAAGAAAGTTTTGCAAAAATTTTAGATTTGTTTGACTCTGAACAGATTTAGGAAATTTGTTTATTAACTTATGTAGGTGCAGCCAGTATATATTGGAGTAGATGGGGTACATGTTTTAGGTTATGTTATTGCTGTATTTTTTGTTTTATGAAAATAGACATTGTTTAGGCAGCATGAATCCTGTGTCTGGTTTAGATGCTTGGGAAACTAGCAAAGTTCACAAAGTTATTAGTATTTTATTCAAATTATTTTTGATCAAATTATTTGAACAGTTATTTGTTCAAATATATTTGAAATTTTGGGAATTTGATTGTGAAAGAACTTGTAGTATCTTGAAGTCAAGAACTTGAGGAAGATTTGAGAATTTACATACTCACACATAAGAAGAACCAATTTTGCAAACTTATGTATTTAGACATGACAAAATTTGATAATTTAGTACATTAATAAACTAAACAAATTTCATAATTTATCACCTCAAAAAAGAAGCTTGAAAACAATTAAAAAATTCCAGAAGACATATCACAAAATTAAAAAAATTCTGTAAATTATTGTAAAACGAATTCCATCTTCATCGAATCAAAGATCCAGTAACCCTAATCTTGCGTTGGTGTTCATCCAAAACAGCCATTAGACCACACACACGCACGTGTTTCCGTAGAAAACAGTTGGAGGAGTATCCTGGACCCTCTCCAGCATCGCTAACTCGTTTGGCATAAGCAAGCCGCGTATCATCCGCTTGAAACCCGACGCGCTTTTCGGAAATTCAATATACTCACCCCCGTCAGTTAGTACGACCCTCCTGCATCCTTCCACTTCGTCATCGAGGACCCCATAAAACAGCCCGAGGGCACCAACAAAGAAGGCGAACCCTGAAAGCATATTCCGACGATTACGAATCCTCCAGCAACACCAGAGAAACTTATCTTCCCGCTTGCTCTATCTTATTCGCGCTTTTAATCCTACTCTGGCGAGCACTTCTACTTTTGCTGCATAGTTGCTCCCTTTTTTTATCCTGTGAAGGATGAATAATGTAGGCTTTGGGAGTGACCAATGATTTAATGGATGGGAAGAAAGTGTGAGAGGATTTTCTGTTGGGATTGATGGCT